AAACAATGCTGATGGCAGTAATAATAGCTATGCTCCCACCTCCCGAAACTCCACAGACTTCCCCCGTGGTTCTGAACTGGCACTGTCGTTAGCATTGTCGTTTTGCAGAAGAAATAGCACAGGGAGGTTAGAGCACTACCCTAGGTCACACTGTAAGAACGTGGGGAGCTTCACCCCGGTCCCTCAGCCTGGAGGCCCTCACTGGGCCCTGTCACTGAGGTTCAGGGTCCCGGATGCCGGAACCTGGGTCTCTGGTTGCCGTCTCAGCTGACCCTTGACCTCTCCTTCTCTTTCTTCCCCAGGTGATGGTTCTCAGCTCCCAGCTCCTGTCCTGCTCTGCAGATGCCCCTGTTGTGGCCTTACGGGCTCCTCAGCCTCTCCCTCCGGACCCTGGTCAGGCTGGAACCGCCACTGTCTCTCCTTCCCCCGCATAGGCCTCTCTCCAGCCGTCCCTGGGCGGGGTCAACAAGGCCAAGAAATGGGGGCCCACGACCCCTTTATCCTGCTGACGCCCTGCCTGCCTCCACCCTCTGCCTGGAGTGAGGGTGTCCATACCAAAGACAGAACCTTTTCTCACCTCTAAAGAAAATACATTAAAGACAAGCAGTCCTCCATCTCCAAGCCCTGGCCAGGGCCCCCGATGGGTTAAGGAGGCCCACCTCTTTTCCCAGATGGACTTCAGCTTCTCTCCCTGGAAAGAGGGATTCCTGTCCTTGACTGGTTCAGTCTTTCCACCTGAAAAATCAGTGCACAGTTGTCTTTTATGGGGAAGAATTGAGATGCTTTGGGTCCTCAGGCCGGGGCACCTGCTGATGTTGAAGGGGCGGGTAGCCTTGGGGCCCAGCTGGGATGGGGGGCATCCAGGCAAGGCCAGCACAACTGGCTCGGGGGTGGGGGGCGGTGGGTGGTTGTGGGACTCTGCCCTCCCGGCTGCCAACCTGCATGGACATTTGGGATCTGCTGGTAACACGACCATGAGGAAACGAACCCACCTGCACATTGAGAGGCCCTCTGGCTGGAAGGCTGAGGCCAGTGTCCCAGGGGCAGAGCCAAGGCCCACGGTGTGGCCTTTCGGGGCTGGAGGATGTGGGGACTGGAGGGGGGGGATGGGGAAGAGGGCGCTGGGCCCGTGGGGCAGTGGTCTGCTGTCCGAGAACCCCCGGCATCTCCCTCACACCTGTTTTTACCCCGAGATAAAGCTTCCCCAACACCCCCGTCTTCCCCTTGGAAACATCTGTATTTCCTGAATGCTGCAAACCTCTTTCAAGATGCCCCTGCATGTCTGGCAAAAAGTTCTTTTCCCTCCAAACTGCCCCCCGAATGTGGCCTGACTTCTCTCAGACCACCCCTGTCACCGACAGAGCCCCTGCACACGGCTGTTGCTCTGCAGACCTTGCCTCACATGATTTCTGGGCTCTCCTTCCCAGAGACCGCCATCTCTCCCGGAACCCCTCCTCTGGCCCTCCTGGAGAGGCCTCCCTGCCAGGGCCACACCCCTGCCCAGGGTCTGGATCTCTGGGGAGACTGAGAGATCCGATGAGATTTCTCTGCAGTCAGCAGGCCACACCCCCTGCCCTGGGGGAGCCTGGTGAGGGTGAGGGGAGCAGCCCACACCCTGCTCTGTCTGTAACCAGGGGGGAAAGCCGTCAAAAAACAGAGCCCGAGGAGACAGACGCCGTGCCTCTTACTTTAGAGACACGGAGGCAGAGAGCCACCGGTGTGTGCACCCAACCCACGTCCACCCATCCATCCAGCCATCTATTGGGCATTCCATTCGCTGGTCCATCCACCCCTCCCCCCGATCCTGATACCCTTTAGTAAGCCTGCATTCTCCTCTTACCTGCCTGGACCTCTGGTGGAGTAACAAGGATGCAGCAGGACCGGGACTGGTCCTTGTGGTCTGTCCTTGTGGAGTTAACAGCCAAGTGACATTAATCAGCAAATCACTGCTGAGCGTGTAATGACAACAGTGAAAAGGAAAGAGTCCTGAACTTAGTGATCTGTGGGAGTGACACAGGGGCTGCGATCTGGAGGATGAGAGCCCCAGATGACGAGGACAGAGTTCTAGGCAGGAGGAATGGCACGTGCAAAGGCCCTGTGGTGTGTGTGTGGCTCCCAGCACATTTAGGGGCCAGAAGGATGACCTGTGTGTGACTACAGGTCGAGCGGAGGACACAGCTTGTTCGAGGCCTCACCGCCGGGGGGTAGCAGAGCTGGGGTTCGCACCCCGTCACCTCCTCGTCCTGCTCTCTGCGCTGGAAGAGCCAGGTCTGGGGTGCACACACAGTGACGGGAGCTGTGAGCCTAGCTTCAGCTGGGTCCCCCACGCGTCGCTTGCGCCATTCTACCTTCAGCAGATGCCCCTTGCGCCAGCCTCACCCTCAGGGAGCCTTGGGGTGGGAGGCAGCCACCGTGTCAACTCAGACTGGTTGCTCCCCTTCCCCGAACTGCGTACCCTGTGGAATTGGGCTGCCCCGTGTGCCTCAGTTTCCTTACCTGGAAACGGGGCGTGGTGGCCCTCCCCCACAGAGAGTTAACCTCTGCCTTGTTGGCTCGGGGTCTCTCCTGGGAGCTTCCTTTTCCGGGGGAGGAGACAGAGCTCAGAGGAGCAGCTGTTGCCACAGCTGTGTGGGTACAAGGTGGCCCTCTGGACTGGAGCTTCCTTCTTTGAGGCCCCTCCCTGTGCTTCTCCCAAGACCTGTCTGTGGTGGCTGTGGGGGGGCGGCCTATGACTCAGGCTAGCTCCTGGGAAGCACCCTGTCCCTCCTCCTTCCCATGAGGCCAGCTCCCTGGGGGGTGGGAGTGGAAGACCAAGGCCATCCATCATGCAGTGGCATGACTCAGGTCAGGGGTGGGGGTGCTGGCCAATATCGCCTGGTCCCCCTCCCCAGCTTGGACTGGAAGCCTGCACCTCTCCATTTCTGATCCCAGGAAGGCTGCAACTTGGGGTGTGGGGGAGTCCGGGGGGGCTCTGCCACGCCGGTCAGCCACAGGGCTCTGCAGAGGAGGTAGGTTTTGTTGGCTGGGAGAGGTTCTTCTGTACGGACCGCAGGCCTCACTAACCAGCAGGAAGGGCCAGCCTCCTGGCCCCCGCCCCTCCCAAGGCAGGTGTTTGGGACCCGTCCCCAGGTACCTTTTCTGTCTGGGGCTCAGTTTCCCCAGCCCCCAAAGGTGATGGGGTGGAGGCACAGGGGTGTGGCTTCGGCTGAGCTAGCAGTGGTGGGGTTCAGGGTCTGGGGTTCCCTTCGAGGCCCGGCCAGGCCTCCCACAGCTGAGCCCCTTTTTTCACCAGGAGCAACGTCCAAGAAGTGAAGGCTGGCGCTCACATCAGTGCTCTAGGCCCTGTTGTGAGCACTTTGCCTGTCAGCACCTGTCTGTCCTTGCTCTGTGGCTGTGGTGCAGGGACAGCTGTTATGCTGGTGGACAGCCGAGGCGATAGAGGCAGAGAGGTCTGGACACTTCAGGAAGTGTCGGCCTCAGGATTCGAACCCCAGATGAGCATCCCCAGTTGCTTAGCACAGGAACCGGCACAGAATAAACTCGTTGCCTCCTCCCTCAACCCAAGTGGGAGTAGACCTGCCCCAGCTGGGTAGGGGTGAGGGCGGAGTGAAGCCCCCGGCACGCAGCGTGGCTCGTCGTCAGAAGACCCGAGACGGTCACTCCGCCTTAGTGGGCACCACTGTCCCTGTCTGTGCAATGGAGAAAGGCGGCCCATGGCCTCTGAGGTCCTCCCTCCTGCCTGCTTCCAGAAAGAGTGCACTTCCAGGAGTCATCCCTCTTACTGTGGTGCTAGTTCATCCATCTGTCTGCCAGGTAGTTATTAAAGACCCCGGTGTCTTGGGGACAAGGCAGGGACAAGGCTGCCACACCCCTTCCTCCCTGCAGTTCCAGGCTGGCAGGGGCAACGGATGTCAAACACGTATGCGCTCCAGGGCATTCTTCATGGTAGCTCAAGCTGCGGTTCGGTGGGCTCTGCCGGGCCGTGATGCTGGCCCAGCCCAGGCTGGCAGGCAGGGCAGGCTTCCTGGAGGCAGTGGTGAAATGATGCATTCATTGGCATCTGCCTCCCCTGTCAGACTCTGTGGTCGTGCCAGTGTTGCCCACAGCACAAAGAGGGGCCTTAATATTTGCTGAGAGAGAGCAAAGCTGAGACAGACCTTTGGAGGGGAGTCATGGGCCCTGCTGAGCCTTGCTTTTCTCATCTGGACAATGGAACTCCAAAGCCCACCTCACTCTAAGGTCAGGTGGAGGCATTGGAGGGGCAGGAGTTCTGTCCGGCTCCCACCTGCCCCCCTGCACCCCCTTCTGCTGTTGAACCAGTGGTCACTCCAGACCAGCCCCAGCCGAAGCTGGGGCCACGATGGGGCTTGGGGACACTCTTGGAACACAGGAGGCTCTGGGACAATCGTAATTTAATAAAGCCCAGGCTTTGGATCAGTCCTGGCCATACATTATCGTGCTGTCTCCTCACCCAAGACGGGTAGGCCTTAGGTTTCAGAAGGGGGCATCGAGGCTGGGAGGGAGGGCCAGGAATGAGGAAGCAGAGGTTGAGGGGAGCAGATCACAAGTCGGGAGGGGCTGGGATCCAGCAGACCTTGTGTGCTCAGGTGCTGCCAGGCCTGGGGCCCTGTCCTGGTCTCACCCCTCCTCTGTCTCTCCGTCTGTGAACAGCAAGTCGGTGCTGTCCCCTCTTCCCCTGGGTCACGGTTTCCTGTTATGCGTGTGTCACAGGAACCACCGAACCCGTAACACTTCATCGGTGTCTGTCTTCTGGCATCCCTCGCACTGGGACGCATCGGAAAGCTGGACATTGTGTCCATGCATCACAGTCGCGTCCTCAGCACCCAGACTGCTGCCCGCCCGGCGTCCACCAGCTGCTCAATAAACATTTGTTCTCGAAATGAAGGCCGCTTCTTGCACGGCTGCAACGTGCGGACGCCTGCCCGTTTACTGGGGAGGAGCGCGTCTCAACGGCCATGTCCTTATTTCCAGAAGGAAACCCTCACTTCCCCTGCACAGACCCACCCGGTTCTGGTGAATCCTTGGGGGCCGGCGGGGACACCTTCAGCCGCAC